GAGGGGCGAGGAATCAGGCATCTCAGCACCAGGGCAGCACATGGGCTGGTGTCACAGCCAACATCTGCTCTGGGGGCAGAAGGGACACTCAGTGTGGCTCTGGGAGGCCCGTGCCCTCCTTTCAGACCAGGCCTGGGTAGCAGCAAGCCTGACAGACAGCTTCTTCCTGCTCTCCCCATGGCTGCTTTGGCTCTGCCCTGGGGAGACCCACACACTGACCTGTGACCTTGGCCAGACACCTCTCCCTCTGCAGGAGGGGCTCAGATAGGTGAGGAAGGGACAGGGAAGGAAGGACCAGGGGCTGCAAGGAGGCCAAGTGTAGGGGAGTGGGCTGCTTCCTGTTGACCTCCCCCATCAGACTTGGCTGCTGGCCACTCCCTCCCAATTTCCTCTCAGCTTCCTTGGGGGGGCCTCTAGAACAGAAACCCCACATCAGAACCTTGTTGCCCCAAATCAGCCAAGGATATAGGGACTTGAAGAAAGTGGGGGGAGGAGGACAAACAGTATGGTGTGAAAGATAACCCTGGAGCAGGAGCACAGGGCGAACCTCCTCCAGGGTCACTGACTCAGGGTGGTCTTGGCCTGGTTTCTGCCTCTTGAGGGTCAACTTCCCCAATTAGAGGGGGAGGGCTTAAGGCAGTGTGTCTTAAATTTTACAGTTTTTCTGTAGTGTAATCACATGGAATCCCGTTAAAATGCTGTCTGATTCAGCAGGTCGGCGGGGGGTGGGGGGGGTGGTGCCTGAGATCCCTCATTTCTTTTAATTAATTAATCTATTTATACAAGCACTGGGTACAGTCAGAAGCGCGGGAGGGTGAGAGGATTCACCAGAGCCAGAGCAGGGAACAGAACAGGCAGACTGACTGAAATACACTGCTGAGGGGAGCAGCGGGCGGCAGGAGAGGTCTGCGCCATGTGGGACCCTTGCCAGCGGCCGGGGATAGAACCGGCGTTGCAGAGGCTGTGCCACCAGGGAGGCCCAGATTCCTCATTTCTAACAAACCCCCAAGTATTGCCCAGGCTACTGCCCCATGGACCCCACTTGAGCAGCAAGGACCGAGATGACGCACGTAACTGGTGCCTTCAGGGCCCGGAGATTGTCACCTCACAAAGCACCAGAAGCTAAGTGTGAGGCTTTGAATTAGCTGCAGGCTCTGGGCAGTTTCCAGGTTAGGGGGCAGCAAGCTCCACCGACCTCCATCCGAGGCTGTTGGGTAGAAAGTCCCTTCTCGGCCACTGGTTGACTTAACAAGGGCTGCTTCCTTCTCCAGGGGCCCCTCGGACATCTGAATGTGACGCAGCATAGGCACAGCTCCCAGGCACCTTGGGGCCTCGGGGTGGGGGGGGGTAGGGCGAGGACAGCAGCGCTCGGTCAACACTACCCCACTGTACTGAGTGGGGATGGCCAGGGCGTCAGTGAGACGGGCTTCACGTGTGCAGGGAAGATGTTAGCTCTGAGAGCACCTAGGATGGAAGGGGGGCGCTGTGGAGAGTGGGGTCCAGCAGGACTGGTTGCTCCACCGCTTGCTCCTTCGGATGTCTGGCCAGAGGTTTCATCTCTTGAGACTGGGAATCTTCAGTGCTGCACCTCCCCCTGCAGTGACCTTTAGGGCTAACCGGCCCTAGGTCCGGCTGGGCAACCAGCGCGCAGGGGGAGAACTGCAAAACCCTACCTGCTGCACCTCCCCCCGCAGTGATCTTTAGGAATGGCTTTCGCCACGGCCCCTAGGTCCGGCTGGGCAACCAGCGCGCAGGGGGAGAACAGCATAACACCCTGAAGCAGAGGAAGTGCAGCGGAAGTTCCCTGAAAAGGCAGAAGCTTATCAAAAGATAACGACCACCAGGAACCACTACAAGAATGCTAAAGATCTTATCCCGTCTTTCTAGAACTACAAACTTTAATCCCTTATTGTCTTTCTAAACTTCCTCCTTTCTTCTATAATGGTCATTGTTTGTTATGTAGATCACCTCCCTGATGGTGATAGACTGAGCCCAGGAGCAAGCTGATTTCATTGATATTCATTCCTGTGCTTTTGGAAAACATATATATACTGGTCACAAACTCAAAGAAAATTACACTCAGATTTTCACTCTTGAAGTGTGTCTGTTTGTCATTTCTTTCACCGACGCCCTGACCACCCTGCACGCTTCTCTCAACCCTGAGGTGGCCTCATCGTCTACTGCTGTGCTGTTCCGCGGCACTTCAGGGCCCAGAGGAAGGTGCCAGCGCCCCTGGCATTTCCTCTTGGTCAGGAGGGAGTGGGGGGAGGGAGCCATTTCTCTTGCCTCCTATTGGAGGATGATGGTTCCAGTTCTGTGGGCCCAGAGCTGCCATCGCAGCTCCACTTAAAAGCCCAGCTCCTAGAAAGAGGAGAGGAGCCCAAAGGGAACCCCTTCCTTAGCACCTGAGACCAAACCTTTCAAGCCGGAGATCTCGGGGATATGGCCCCTGCCCAGCCCTACCCTGCTGCCCAGGGCCCGTCCACCACCCCTCCTGCTGTGGGCTCATTTCCCAGCTCTCCTCACATCAGTGTGGGTCCTGGGGGGGGGGTGGGGCAGGACGTCCCGACCCTCGGCCACACGTCAGTTCCCAGAGCCACCAACGAGGGGCACAAGGCTCCCGAGCGTGTGCGCACCTGCACATCTGTGCCTATTGGTTATGTAGACAGTATGTACCTGGGTTCTGGGTCTGAAGGTCAAGTGAACCCGTGGTCACAGGCACAGCTGTGTGCGCATGTGTGCATGTGCAAGCAAGTGGGTATGTGAGAAAGAGTGTCAGAGGCTCCCAGACATTCCCGAACACTTCTATGCTGATTGAATCCTGTTCTCAATGCCTGGGAGAAGCTGGTTCCTTAGGGGGCAGGGAGAGTGAGTTATTTTATAAAGTTCCTTTATTTTATAAAGGAACCCCCTTAAGCCCCGCTGCATATCTGAGATCTGCCAGGACTGGCACAAATTGAGACCCCCTCGGCTTTAGAATGGGCTCCCGGCTTTGGTGTGCCTGTGAAAGGCCCACTGCCAGGTCCTGGCGTTGCTGTTGCACAATGCCCCGGGTGCCAGTCCGCTGTCCGGCACAGACCCAGGGAGTCGGCGCTGTGTCAGCTGGTGCCAGCTCACTGGGGGCAGGGCAGCCTCTGTGTGAACAGAGAGGGTGGCGTCAGTCTTCTGGGGGAAATCTGAGATGGAGCCGGATCCTGCCTGGCGGGTCTGTCACCCTCGTCTAGGCTTACACTTCCAGGGAAACTGGTCACCCTGGGTGGAGCTGGCCCCAGATATCAGGGCCCTGAGGATCCAGCTCTGAGCTCTGGGAGGCAGGGCAGAGTGTGGGGAGTGGCCTGGAGACACCTGGCAGGGCCCCTGGAGGAGGCTGGCCTGCGGTGCCCAAGGTGCCCAAGACCAGGCTTATGAGAGGAAGCTGGGGCCAGGGTTGGGAGCTCCCAGTGTGGAGAGGTGGGTCTCTGAGGGCTGGGGTCAGAGCTGCCAGGGCCTGTGGGCCCAGCCATCTGCCTTGGGGGGCTGGATTTTCAGGGTGCCCAGCACAGCAGGTTGGCCTCAGGGGTCTTTCTACTCTGCACAGCCTGCTGGTGCATCTCTGGACGAGCCTTTTATCTTCAGCCTCCCTTTGGTCCTCAGGGGCCTTTCGGCACTGATATACCGGGGTTCCAGGTGGCCTGCCCAGTGCTGGGGGAGTGCAGGAGGAGCTGGTAGGAGGCTGGACGCTGAGGAGGGAGGGGGTCAGGGGAGGGAATAGGCCGGGGCAGCATTGTTGGCAGGGGGCACCTCCCCTCTTGCCCTAGTTTTTGGTTTAGATGTTACAGATGCTGAGGTACAGGGAAGAGGTGACTAGTCTCCAGAGCAGGGCAGTGGCCAAAGGCTGGCTGGGGCTCTCTACCTGCAACAGGGTGGTCCCCAGGAAAGGGGGAGGTTCCCTGCCCCACCCAAGGGAGGGTGGAGCTGAGCAGGAAGAGGAGAAGCTGCAGAAGAGACTGAGGAAGGAAGCAGGATGGAGCCAGGAGACCTGGAGGAGGCGCATGGAGCCTAGAGACGCGTGAAGAAACTGTGCTTGTCTTTTGGTCGTGGACTGGGTGACACAGATGTGGGTGAGACCTGTGGGGAGGTGACAATGGCAGCTTTTATCTTGATGTTGATTTTGCTCTTTTCCTTCCGGGCTTGTCCAGTTGTTTGTGACCCTTTTCTGTGGGTCCCCACTGGAAGATGCTTTAGACTTGTGGCAGGCTTTGGGGCCTTGTTCTGGGCCAATCCCATTTGGATGGACTTTTACCCACGAGGGGACGGGTAACTTTGGGTGCTTCACTTAGAAACTAGACTCTTTGCCTTACCTGTATTGTTTCCTAGTTTTATTAAAGTTCCTTCCCATTAAAGTCTCCTATGTTTTGTGTTGATGCGGCGGATGGCAGAACCCATGTAGAATAGGCAGGTTTGCGGGGTTTGGGCTGCCCCTCTCCCTGTCCTATAACATACCCACAACTTGGCTGCGCGCCCCCTTCCCCAGCTCAGACACCTCCAGTCTGGGGCTCTCCAGGGCCCATAGCCATTGCCTCCAACTCTGAGAGACCCAAAAGGGAAAGGTGAGCGACGGGTGGCCCCTCAGCAACTCAGAGGGCCTCAGGAAGATGCTGCACCCTGGATTCCAAGCAGACAACAGACTGGGGCTGCACACAGGGCTCTGCAGAACCCTGCTCGCCTTGCCCTGGGGAAGGAGCACCCTCATCCTCTCACCGCAAGGCCAGGGACCAGCACGCTTGCATGCATAAATCCCCGGGGAGCCCTAATGCTGCCCCACCCCCTGGAGTGGGGGGTGGAGAGGGGCAGAGAGTGGGGGTCAAAACTCAGGCTAAGAATCTGAGAGCTGGGGACACGGCATCTCCTGGTTTCATTTCAGATAGGGACTAGCAGATCTACCCACAGGGCTCAGATGGCACCCTACACAGGGCTCAGACTGGCCCACCTGCCCAAATGGGGTGAGGTGGGTGGGTGGGAGGGGCTGGCAGAGGAGATCTGAAGGCCCCAGGAGGAGGAACTCAGCACTCGCTTGCCTCCATCCACCCACTGACTAAGGCCTGGTGGAATGGCCCACCCTAGGGGAGTGCAGGCCAGTGTGGACAAGAGCCCAGCGCGCAGTCAGACAAACAATACACAGCTGTCAGGACCTCAGAAGTAACGTTTATCCGGGCCCTGTGGCGCCGAGCACCCCAACTGCCCGCCCCTAGTTCTCAGGAGAACCCCCCGCGGCCCAGCCTGCTCTGGGGCTGCAGACATGGCCTGGCTGGCCCTCAGCCCACCCAAGCGAGGCCTTGGGAACAAACTGCCCTCAGACCCTCCTCCGTCCCAAAGCCCTCCATTGCACACCCCCCGGTGCTCCCTCAGCCTGGGTTAGCTCAGCACCTTGTTAAATAGCTTTTTTGCAATCCCCCTTAAATAAACCCATCCCCAGAGCACCCCACCCACCTTCACCCTGAATATATTATTCTACTGGCTTATGCCTTCTAGAGAGGGGAGGGCCTTTTTCTTTCTGCCCTCTGCTCTGGGGAATACCATTTCCCCCAAAAGTCAGGGAAAAAGTTTTCCTCTCAACTCTGGGACAGCGACAAGGGGAGGCCTGGCTTGCAGTGGAAAAGCCAGGAGTCCTCATCTGTCCCTCCCTTCTCCTTGACCTCTCTGCAACTCGGGTCAGGTGTGACTTACCCAAGGTCACAGACCCAGGACCCAGAGTCCTGTCCCATCTAGGAGGTCATTCTGGTTGTGTCAGCCCAAACAGGCTCCAGGCAGGGGGCTGAGTCCCAGGCTGCTCGTGGCCCTGAGACCCCTGGAACGTCCTCCTGGTGCCCCCAGCCCTGCTGTCTCCAGCTCTGTCTTGTTCTGGGGATGCTCAGACGGAACCAGGTCAGGGCAGCAACAGGCCTGGAGCCTGAGCAAGCCTGCCCCCGGCCCGATCCACATCAGGGCCCAGGCCACGTCTCACACCCAGTACTGGCCGTTCTTGAGGGCAGGGTTGGGTGTCCGGCAGAACTGCAGCAACTCTGGGTCTGGCTGGCTCCCTGGCGGGAGCCCCTGGCCCGGTACCGCCGTGAGTGGGATGGCCTGGCCCGGTTCCACCTTGCGGAAGGTCTCCATGTCGCTGGCCAGGCCGTTGCGGGGCTTGGCGGTCAGCACCTGGACATTGTGCTTGCCTGTCTTATTGCGCTTGCGGAGGTAGAAGAGCAGGGGCAAGATGAGCGCCAGGAGCAGGAGGACCAGGCACACTGGGATGATCACGCTGAACATGTTGGCTTCTAGGAAGCCCAGGAAGCGGCCCCTGGCCACGGTGGGCACGGGGCTGAGGGTGGCTGGGCTCGGCTCGCGTGTGGGGGTGCCTGCCTCTGGCTTCCCTGCCTCTGTCCGAGCAGCCTGAGGGAGACTGAGCAAGGCCACGTGGTAGGGCTGGGCTGCATCGTAAGGCTCGGTGGCAAAGTCCAGCGGGACCACAGCTGGGGGGACGCCCTGCGCCCACAGCTCCAGAGTGAGACTGTCACTGGCAGGGCCAGGGGCCTTGCCCTCTGGTTGGCCCACCTCCAGCCCCAGCCTTCTATCCTCTAGGTCCTGCTGGGTGAACTGCTCCACAGACTGGCCACTCCTGGGCTCCGTCCCGGCCCGGGGCACACGGATCACGCGGCCGTGCCGGGGTCCTGCCAGGAGCCGGAACCGGGGCACGCTGCCCGTGCGGTTGGCCAGCTCACCCGCACTGAGGACGGTGGGGTCCAGGAGCAGGGTGGCACCCTGGGGCCATGGTCCGCCTGCCCACACGTGCAGCAGAGCCCTCACGGTGACGTTCACTGTGGCGGACGCATTGACACCCCTGGCCAGTGCCAGGACGCGGAAGTGGTCGCGGGAGGAGGAGAAGTTGGTGAAGACAAAGACCACCTCGCCCTTGTCTACCTGGAGCTGGCTGAAGGCTGCGGCGGGCTGGCCGCCCACCAAGAGGTGCCCGTGCCGGGGCCCCTGCGTGAGCCGGTACACCGTGTCCGGCTCCTCTCGATCTGAGACCACGTGGAGCTGCTGCCGGGTCAGTGAGGCGCGCCCTAAAGCTTGGGGCACCTCTAGGGGCTCCTGCAGCTCTACCTTAATCGCAGACGGCAAGACATCCACCGCCAGGGACACGGGCAGGGGCGGACTGGCCCCGTCGGACACGCTCAGCTGAAAGACGCCGGCCACGCTGCTCCCGTTGGCCACGAAGCTCAGCCGGCCTGCATCCACGTCGGCCTGCGTGAAGCGGGTCACGGGCCCCGGGCTGGTCCCTGCCAGGTTCAGGAATCCATTGTGGGGCGCCCGCTGCACCTCATACTCAATTTCCCCGGGAGCTGAGTCTGGGTCCACCACACTCAGCTGGGCTCGAGTGACAGGGGTGTGGGAACCCCGGGTGAGCCGGAGCGGGGCAGAGGCCTGGGGCTGAGGCGGCTGCTTGTTCACGTCCCGCACTGTGATGGTGAAGGCCTCTGAGGTGTGGGGCCCCGCCACGGAGGCCCCTGCCGGACCCTGGAGGTGGGCACGGAAGCGGAAGCTGTCCTGCTGGGTGCCCGCACCACTGTGGACATACACCAGCCGCCCTGCGGTTAGCTCAGACTGTAGGAAGTAGGGCCGCCCGGCATGGAGGGGCTCCTCGGACACCAGCAGCTGCCCCCGGGTGGGGAACTGTGTGATCTGGAACAGCACGTCGTGCTCTGCACGCTGGGGCTCAGGAACGCTGGCCAGCAGGTTGGAGGCATCCAGGGCGCCCACGGTGATCTCAGCCCGCTGGCCCTCAGGGACCCAGAGACCTAGGGTGGGGACACACGATATGAAGGCCCCACCCAGTGAGGGAAGAGCAGGGCGCCCGCCGACGAGGGGCCCTAAGGCAAGGCTGCGCTTCCCCGGCAGGCCGGGTACCTGAGATGGGCTCGGGACCCCAGGAACACAAGGACTGTACCCCATCTCTGATGCCCAGCCTCCCCCCTTTCACCCTCCCTGTGGCTTCCCGGGTCCTGGAGCCTCTGAGAGACTGGTCTTCTCCCCCTTTCTGCCTGGGCCTCTCCCAGTGCCCGTGCCCCAACGCTGCCAGCCTGTTGTGCTGCTCACCTTGGTTCTTCCAGAGGCGGCTGGGGCGCTGAGGACAGGCAGCCTCAAAAGACACAGTCACGGCAAGGGTGGCAGAGACGTCAGGAGCAGGGGGTAAGGACAGCCGGAGTTCCAGGGCGTCGTGGGTCTCCCAGAAGGGCTCAGCGGGCATCTCGTGCTCATACAGAACATTCCCAGCATACACCTGTGGGAGGCCGCATTGTTGGGCGGTGTGCCCAACCCCGCCCCGCCCCCAGGCTAGTACCAGCGCTGGGCCCTGCGGTGTCTTTGGCAGCCCTACTGCCAGCTCCCTCTGGGCGCCCCTGACTCACCCGCCAGCTCCGTGGGCCGCATCATGCAGTCACGGCGCAGCGAAGAACGGGCTCTTGCCTCGTCCCGGCGCTGCCACCTTGGGCCACCTGTCTCCTCTCTGAGCCCGCGGGGAAAGCCTCGCCACGCCGGCGCTGCCCTCCACGGCAGGCCCTGCCTCTCTGCCAGCGCCTGCCCCTCCCGCCCGGGGGAGAATCTGCGTCCACCATCTCCTGCCCCTTCCTTATTGGGTCCATGTTTCCCCAAAAGATCACCCCAGCCACACGCTGCCATGCTATTTTTCCATCTTCAAGGGAAAACTCTTGTCTTCATCTTTTCCACCCACTTTTGCTGCTCCCACCCTTTGCTCTTCTGTGCAGCAAAACCCAAGAGAAGAGTCTACGCTCCCCACACCCAGGCTTTGGTTCCTGCCATGGTCAGGGCCACCGAGGGCCCCACGTTACAGCCTCGTGGGCTTTGTGCTGCCACCGGCTCTGCAGCATCTGATGCACCTGCCTCCCCGAACACACCTTCCCGTGCTCTGGCTTCCCCCTACGTCACTGGGTGCCCCTCACACCCTCCTGCTCCCTCCTCTTCTACCCAGTGTCTTGACCGTCCCCCGTGCCCAACGCCAGCGGCGCGGAGGCCCCTACTTGTGTCAACCGCCTGACTGTCCTCTGCTGCGCTCCACACTATGCCCACCCGCCTCCTCCGCAGCTTCGAGCCTTGTCCAGTGGACGTATCCACCTCAGCGTGTCCCGGACGGGCTCAGGCCCTGCCCCCCGGCCAGGCCATCCCAGGCCATCCGTATCTTCCGCTGGCTCAGGCCAAGCCCCGGAGTCCCCTCTGGCCGCTGCCTTCTCTCACACACCGCCATCCTGGATCTGGGTCACGGCCCTGGCCACCCGCTGCGCAGCAGCTCAGCCTCCCCTCGCCCTTCCCTTCAGTGTGCTCTTCACCCAGGGGCCAGCGGGAGTTTTACAGCTATCAGGAAAGTTGTGCTGCCCTTGTGCACACTCGTGATGGCCGCCATGTGGCCACAAAGTCCCATGGCAGCCCTGCTGGGGCCCCGCTAGGCCCTTCCCCGTCGCCCTAGCTCTGGCCACACCTGTGCTTCAGGGCTTGTGCACGCTGAACACCAGGGAGTACCTCACTTTCTCTGTGAAAGGTCCCCTCCCCTCCCCTTCTACCCATTGTGTCCTCTTGGGTTACCTTCCGTGTCCCTTTAGTAGTCACAGGAAATATTTTCCTTCAGCGGAAAAACAGGACTTGTCCAATAGCAAGAAGAATCAGGCGGAAGGGTCTCAGCCTCCAGAGAGGTGGGCGGTGGTGAACTGGGGAGCAAGGCCCCCTCCAAAGGGGGCTCGTCAGAGCTCCATAGGGGAGCACCACCTTTCTAAGGGGGATCACCCAATGCAAAGGGGGATCACACAGGTCTAAATGGGGAGCAGGGCTCAGTCTGCTCAATCCTAACAAGTCATTGCAATAAGAGTGACATAGGCCTTTTAAGAAAATGGGTATTGTGTTTATTTCCTTTTTGGTGACATCTCCAAAGGTTAGATATTGTCCATCTAAAAATACTAAATGCGCCGCATAAATAAAACACATGCGGGCCAGGTGGACTGCCAGCTGTAGCTCTGGCCAGGCTGAAGAGGGGCAGAGCGGGAACGGGGATTGGGAGAAAGGCAGGGCTGACTGCCCGGCACACAGCATCCTTGGGCGGGAGGGGGCCGGTGGAGAGGGAGGCCAACGCAGGTGAGGTGTGGGTGCTGGGGGCTCTGGGCTCTGGGGGGAGCAGTGGCCTATGGAGAGAGCATTGCCTCTTACGGGCCGTGTGACTCAACAGTCACCTCGCCCCTGGGAGGCTCTGCTTCCTAAACCACAGAACGGGATGTCTGATGCCCACCTCACCCATTTTGGAGTCTGGTGGAAGAGTGCAGGGGAGGGTGGTGCCTCTGCCCCAGCTGCTTCCCAACCTCCCAAGGTGGCACTGCCAGCCTGGCCCCCGGTGGCCATTCAGTCTAGTCCTTTGGGGGAGTAGAGGGGGGCGGGGCAGGGCCCTGTATCCTGCCCTTTCCTGGGCATCCAAGGACAGGACACCCAGGGACTTGGGGCACACAGCGGCCGCAGCTGCCTCCTACTCAGTGCTCCATTGTGGGGAGAGGCAGGACACCGGGGCTCCAGGGAACAGAGAACCCAGGTCAGGGAGTATGGCTGGGAGACCCTAGACGTGTCCCCACCCTTGCTCAAGCCACCTGCTTCTCAAGGCCCTGAAGGCTCCCCCTGCCTGCTCTGCCTTTGGGGACAACTGACTTAAAAGGAGTATTAACTTAAGTGATGGCTGCGGACTCCCGGCAGTCAGCGCAGAGCCCTGCGGTTTCTGCGGGCTAGTGGTCAGCGCCTGCATGCTGAGCGCGCTAGTTTTCCCCAGGGGCCTCCTGTGCGCTGGGACAGGGACGGCCTGATCTGCGGGATGGGTGGGTGGCAGCTCCTCTCCCAGCCCCACCGACTCAGCTGCTTCCTGCCCCCTCTTCTGTGGTTGACTGGCCTCTGACTTGAGCCCTAGGCTTGTACCTCTGCCTACAGGCCCAACAGCTGCCTTCATTTCAAACGCCATTCCCCTGAACTGAGGACCACGCCAACTGCTGGCATACCCTTTCCAGCCCTGTGGCCTAATGGGAGCTTCCCTCTGGAAGCCAAGTCCAGGACCCAGTCCCTGTTCCGAGGCCCTGCAGCCCTGATTTCTCCCCATCCTGCTTCATTTCCTCAACCCAGCTTGATGGATTCTGGGGGGCAAGGCACCCAGGGCCTGGACCATGGCGGGCCAGGGAGTGTCTACTGCTGCTGGAGCTGGAGCTGGTGCCTGTGACCACACATGTGCCCCAGGCAGAGAGGGCCACTGAGGCGCAGGGGGGCTGAGTGTGAGTCCTTACCTCGGCCTGAGTGAAGTTCACCAGGGCCTCCCCAGTGTTGCTGTGCTGAGTGTGCAACAGGCGGCCCAGCTGGGGGCCCCACAGCACGTGGTAGAGCAGGTGGCCAGGGTCGGTGCCTGCGCTGGAGCTGGCTCTCAGGCTCTGGCTGCTAAGCTGCTGGATGGAGCCTGTGGGAGGCCGAGAGGGTCTGTCAGCCTCAGACCAGGAGCCAGGATGTGGCCTGTGTGGCTGCCTGATGCTCGGGGCCACCAGCCCACAGGTCCGCCCGCTCCCGGCACACCTACCTGGGCAGACAGTGAGCGTCCGGCTGCCCTCCAGAGAGAGGAGTAGCTGCTTCTGCGCCGTCACTCGGAAGAAGTGTCCAGGGGAAGTGAGCTCGCCATCAGAGAGACCAAAGCGGAAGCCTCCGTCCAGGGCTCCTGCGGGCAGAGGTGAGGTTGGGCCTCACTGGCCCTGGCCAGTGCCCCCGCCGCTGGCATCCTCCCTCCCAGCACCCACCTTTGTGTGAGAACAGCACGAGTCCACTGTCCAGCTGGGCCTGTGTGAAGCTTCGGACCTCGGTGTTTGGTGACGGCCGTAGTACCACCCGTCCGTTGCTGGGCTGCTCCAGGGTGTAGACCAGGTCTTTGGGCCCCGAGTCGCTGTCTGTGCCCCTAAGGGCCTCCGGAGGGATGGGCACAGTGGTCCCCTCCCACATCTGGGGACACAGGCCTGTGAAGGTTCTGTCCCCATGAAATTTACCCACCTCTTTCCTCCCTGTCCCTGGGGAGGCGTCCAGCACACGGAAGCTCAGCCCTCAGCTGGCATGAGGCCTGGGCCATCCTGGGTCCCTGCACAAAAGGCTCTTCAGCCCATCACATTTCCTGATCCCCAGGTCCCTCTGCCTCCCTGCTCTCCATCTGCCCTAATCTCCTTGTCCTTCTCAGCCAGTTCGAGTCCCCTCAGGAAGTCCCAACACTTACCCTCACCAAGTTCTCACTGCCCCCCAAGGGAGCCCCAGCCCTAACAGATGTGCTGCTTACTCTGGCTTGGTCCCCCCCCCTCGTGGTGAGATTGGGCAGGGACCGGGCACACTGTGGGAATGGTGAGTTCTGGAGGCCAGGGTTCCCCTTCTAGGTGAGGGAGAGCCGGGGAGGCTGAGCTGCCGCCGTCTCTGGAGGGTTTGGGGCGAGGATTCAGGTGTTTCCAGGGCAGTCACGACCTCCAGCAGGTGGGTGAGGAGTGCCTGGGTGTGGCTAGCACCTCCACATGCTCAGAGTGAAGGGGACCCCCCCTCATGCCTCCCACCTGCCACCAGGGCAGGATCCCATTTCTGGGGTTCTGATACTAGGCTTCCTGGGTCAGTAACTTGTGGTAGCATTGGGAGGGGTTCCCATACCCTGAAAGCTGACTCCCTAGGATTCCCTGGCTCCCTTCTCAGGTCCTGGGCTGACCCTGGCAGAACTCTGGAGGGCCGCAGTGCATGCATGTACTGGGACGGCGGCCTTGGAGCTGTTTTTGGCAAAACCCAGCAGACAGCTCCCCCTGCTGGCTGAGCTGACACGCCTACCCGTGGGCCTATTGCATCTGGAGCCTGTATGACACCCACCAGGTGCTCCCCATGGGCATTACTGATGCCCCCAAAGATGCCCTGTACCCCAAGTTACAGAAAGCCTGAGCCAAAGCTCACTGCAGCTCCTGCTGGCACAGAGTGCACACCCCAGATGCACCATTCAGGGCCCTGCCCAGGCTATTGTGCTGTATGGCCCAAAGCCACCTCCCTTCTGTTCTACCAGAAACTACAGGTCACCTGTTTGTGCTCAGCTTCCACCTCTGTGCTGTGTAAGGGGCAGTGACTTGGAGAGCCAAACTGTGGCCTTCACTTGCAGGGGTAGAAGTGGGAGGTTAACTGATCCCACCAGGAGTCTACCCCTACGGACTCCAAAGAACTTTCCTTAGGAGTTCTGGTCCAGAGTCACAGAAAAGTCTCCTGCTGAAAGGCGGGTCAGGAAGCAGCGGGCCAAGCTGCCTCCTGTACTGACAAGGTGCAGTAACAAAGCCTCCCGCCAGTGCGCTGCTTGCAGCGCTTCTCCCTGACAACCCAGCCAGGCATGTGGCAGTGGCGCCTTCTCCAGAGGAGGAACTAAGTCCAGGCCTCTCTCTGGGAGGGCGGGTGGGAGGTGGTCCCAGAATGCTCTCACCTGCAGGCCAGTGTTTGTGGTGAGGATGGGGGGCTGGTCGTTGACGGGCAGGATGGTGACACTGAAGGTCACGGGCCGGCTCTGGCGGTCCATCTCAGAGGCGTTGGCCACGAGGATGAAGCGGTCCGTCAGAGTCTCACTGCCATCATGCACGTATTGGATCAGCTGCTGTTCCACCTGTGGGGGCCGGGGGCGGGGGTCAGGCCTGCTCTGAGTCGCAGGCTAGCACCCTTCAAACCTGCCTTTGGGCGTGGGGGAGAGACTCCTTTAGAGCCTGCTTCCAGAGGTGGGAGAGGGGACAATCATTTCCTGTAGAGTGAAGGAGTGATGGAGAGGAGAGGGACCAATCATTGCTATCCCCCCGGTGAGGAAGGAAAGAGTTAAGGCATATAAAGCAGAGGCGTTCCATAAATATGGGCTCCCCGCCTCCCCTCAGTCCATGCGCCAACTGGGAGTCCCCAGGGCTCCCCCACACTCCCCCCAGAGCTGGCTGTCCCGGGCCTCCCTGACAGCTGTACCTCGCTCCAGGAGAAGGCGCTGAGCGTGCGGTCTTGAGGGCCTTCCTTCCTCTGCAGGGCCCCGTGCTGGGGGGGCTCTAGCACCTGCAGGTCGAGGCCGGGCAGCGTGGGGAAGTAGGGCCCCGTGACGCGGAGCAGCGGCGGGCCCAGGGTGTGGGCACCGCCCTCGGGGACGCTGAAGTTCTGTGTTTCCAGTGGGATGGCAGCAGGCAGCACCTCCAGCTCCACACGGATGCCCTCCAGGGGGGCCCCCAGGCCCGAGGCCGCGTCCAAGGAGAAGGCATCGCTCCAGGCCTCCGGGCGGGAATGCAGGTATAGGACCCTGCCTGCGTCCACTGCCTCCTGAGAGAAGCTCTGCACGGGGTCCAGGCTGGGCGGTTCGGCCATAGAGGCCCCGTGAGACAGCATCACCAGGTACCCGGCGCGCGGGGGGGTCTTCACCGAGAACACAATGTCCGCTGGGGCCACCGCCTCCTGGGCTGCCTGGTTAACAAGGTCACTGGGACTCACTGGGGGCCACAGAAGGAGGCCGTCACGGCCCCTTAGTGACCAGACCAGGCTCATCCGATGTCCCACACATTTTCCCACAGGGAGCCCAGGAGACGCCATCGCTCACGCTGTTCACACACACACAGTCACGTGGTCCTGCAGTCTGAGCACACGTCCTCAGAGGGGCACGCAATCACGCACCCTCACTCAGCGTCAGGCGTACGTGCTCACCACACACAGATGTGCGGACAAAGACACACATGGAACACGTGCACACGCAGGCTGCCCCCCGCCCCGCTGTGCCACTCCTCACCGCCAGAGGGGGCTCCCCCGTCTTACAGGCACAGACGCCTACTCTGCGGCCCAGTGGAGCCTGCAGACCGGGTTCCGCCTCAGAGCCCCCCCGCGGCTCCCTCACTTAATGGTCAAGCCACAGAAGGTATTTTCCCCCTCAAACTCACATTCCTGACTCCGCACCTTGGCCTGGCCTGCTCTCTCTGCCTAAACTACCACCCCGCCATGCTCTGCTACTGCAACCTTAGACGAAGCCTAGGCCAAGTTAGGGCAGAGCTTTCCTGACGTCACCCATGTTTAGTCATAGTCTTCCCCAAAGTCTAGACAGTCAGAACCACGAGGGGATCAGACATTGATAATGCAGCGATAAGGCCCAGAGAGGGCAAGGGACTGGCTTGAGGCTGCACAGTGAGTCAGTGGGCAGGCCTGCCTGCTTGGCCAGTGGTTGCTCTGTGAGGCTGTTCAGGGCCCCCTCCCTGAGCCGTTGCCTGGGGTTCATGAGAAGAGCTAAGAACAGGGAACCTGAGGTGCAGCCAGGTCTGCACCAACCAGCAGTCCTCTCAGCTGGTACCTATGACAACCCTCCCGAGAACTTGTATCAGAAGCCAAAGCCTCAGGCTGTACTTCAGAGATTCGGGGGGGCCCAGGATTCTGCGCAGCTAGACACAGCACGTACACGTATGCCCGTGGCATGTGGAGGCATGCACAACTCACAGGCAGCTCATCACACTCCAGCACATCAAACTCCCTGGAAACCCTTGGTTACACAATACACAAACGCTCAAGCACACACCCACAGCCAGCCCTGGAGACACCACGGACACCCTCCTACCTGTAGCTGGTCCCTACGGATCTCGGCCGCCTCCCCCTGGAAGACATAGATCTTCTTGTGCTGGGCCAGGTACAGGGGTGCCAGTGGCCCTGCCAGGGCAATGGTCACCTGGAGGGTGGTGTCTGTGTGCACGGGCCCCGCCTCCACAGAGAAGGTCAGGGTGTCCCTGGGGCTGAGGCTGCCATTGTGGCTGTAGAGAACAGCCCCGTCCAGCAGGTCCTGCTGGGAGAAGGCTGCGGTGGGCTGGCCGGACCGGAGGAGCTGCCCCCAGCGTGGGCCGCCTGTGACCTGGTAGCGGACTTCGTCCCCACTGCGGATGTCCAGGTTGGTGTCTAGAGGGAGCACTGCGGCGTCGATGGCGCCCTGGCCTCCCTGAGGAACCACGAGGCTGGAGCCGTTGGCCACGCGGAGGTAGGGCTCTGAAGCCTGCACTTCGAGCAGGGCGGTGGCCTGGTGCTGCCCGTCGGAGACCTGCAGCTGGATCCAGCCTCGGTCGGCTCCCGAGTGCACAAATAGGACCCGCTTCTTCCTGAGGTCCTCCTGGGTGAAGCGGTAGATGGGCCGCGTGGGCTCCTCCGCAGCCACGATGCTGCCGAAGAGGAGGTCCTTGCGGGTCAGCACTAGCTGAGCGTCGGCAAAGCCCGAGTCGGCGTCGCTGAAGGCCACGTCGTCGGTTGTGAGCAGCCGCCGCCCGCCCCGCGCCACGTGGAAGACTCGACTGATGGTCTGCACGGGTGCGTGGTCATTCACGGGCTGGATGGCCACCCGGAAGACCCCGCGCACCTCCTCCCAGGCCATGCCACCACTGCCCTCCCCTTGGCGTGTGGCCACAAATGGGATGTCGTCTTCGGTGGTCTCCGAGTTGTCGTGCTGGTAGACCAGCCGGCGGTGCAACAGGTCGTCGTTGCTGAAGGCCGTCACCACGGAGGATTGGTCCCGTGGCCCCCGCCAGGCCAGCCTCCCATGGCGGGGCTGCTCCATGACTTCGTAGAGGTAGCTGGCACTGTTGAGACTCTTGACAAAGAGGTGGTCGGCTGAGAGAACACCCTCGCCGCCCTCGGGCACGGTGAGGAGGACGTTGGTGAGGACAGGTGCATCCGGGTCGCCGCCGATGTGGATGTGGAAGGTGTAGAGCGGGGAAAAGTGCGGCGGAGCAGTGACACGGAAGCGGAAGGTGTCCTCCATGGCCTCTGAAGCTTGGGCTGCAGCTCCGTAGGTCACCCGCCCCGCCTGCAGGTCATCCTGGGTAAAGCCCTGACCGTCTGACAGTCGTGTGCCCTGCAGCCTCAGGTTACCCTTCTTGGGGGCCTGGACCACCTCATAGTGGAAGGTGGTGGGGCTCGGACCAGCCTCCTCCAGGACGGCCTCCAGGTGGGCTGTGGTGAGGGCCTCTGGCTGGGTGTTCTGAGCGTGCAATGGCTCCAGCCGGAGCAGCCTCACCATGGCTCTCTGCACCGTCACAGGGAAGGACAGGTTGCTCAGGGTCTCCTGGCCCACCTGCACCTCCAGGACCAGGTCCTCCACTGCGTCCTCCGCACGGTGCTGCGGGTCGGTGCTCAGGTACCTCACACGGCCCTGCTCCACATCCCGCTGGTGGAAGGCCTGTGTGGCCCGCCACTCGGTGCCCTCCGCACCCCCAGCCCCCTGTTTCTGCAGTTCCCCGAACCGCAGGGCCCGGGCGACTCGGAAGAGCACGCTCACGTCCTGCCCCACGGCGTTGGTCTCCACCGACAGGTTGGCCAGCAGGATGGGGGCCGCCGAGCCCTGAGCCAGGCGCAATCCCGTGTTGTGACGAATGCGAATGGCTGGCCGGACGGCCACCACCCTCAGCGTAGCCGAGGGGCTGGCCTGCAGCCCGTCGCTGACCCGGAACATCAGGTCCTGGGTGGGCCCACCGCTGTGGACATACACGAGGTTTCCCGCCTCCAGCTCCAGGCAGGAGAACTGGGTCACTGGCACCCCGGGCTGGTCCTGGCGCTGCAGGGGGAGGCTGGCAGGGGCCCCCAGCAGCTGGAAGGTGAGACCCTCACAGGCGGAGTCGGGGTCATAGGCCTGGAAAACCTCAGGCCCCAGCGATTTCTGTGTGTGCTCGAGGATGACCATGAGGCTGCCGTGCGGGAAGATGACACGGGGCGGGTCATTGACGGGCTTTATCTGCACGGGCAGGAGGTACGTTTGACCCCTCCGCAGGCAGGCGGGCACGGGCCCCCGAGCGGTCACTGACACCTCCAGCACCAGCTGGTCGGAGGTGTCCTCGGAGCCATCGTGGACAAAGCGAACCTTGCGGTTCACCACGTCCAGGAGCGTGAACATTTTCCGCGCCTGGGCACCCGGGATGTCCAGCTCCAGCTCGCCGTGGCGGGCCCCGCGGCTCACGCTGAACAGCACCTGCGACTTGCGCAGCTCGGCCTCGCTCAGGTCCAGTGTGGGCTGCACGTGCCGCCCCTCAAGCCACGCCGTGCCCCCCTCGGCCACCACCAGTGGGCTGATGGTCAGCAGTTGGGTGAAATTGGTAAAGATGGGAGGCAGCCCTGGCTCTGGCACACAGGGCTCAGGCAGCTCCATGGCTGGCCACGCCTCAGGTGCCAGGGTGGAGAAAGCTTCGTAGTGGCCATAGGCATCCTCCTCATACTCTTCTTCCTCCAGACTGCAGCCGGCAGCCATGTCGCGGGTCAGCAAGGCCTCCTGGAGCCCCCGTCTCTGCCCATTGACAATGAGGTCCTCCATGCAGCCCTGCAGGGAGACGTTGACGGCTCCTGGTGCCAGGCCCAGGCGGTGCTCCTGGAGGTGGCGAGACGACTCAGCATCCAGTCCCCCAAGGAGGAGACTGCCACGGGGCTCCAGGTAGCTGAGGACGCCACGGTTGGACGTACGCGTGGGGTACTGGTCCACGGAGATTTCTAGTCGGTGAGTGTCCACGTGGACGCTGACCTCATGCGGCTGCCCGTCGGCCACAGGCACGCTGTTGTGGAGCAACACGGTGCCTTGGCCCTTCTCCACCACCGCCCGCAGGTGGCCCTCAAATATGTCCACATAGATAAAGTCGCCGTGGCGGCCCCCTGCCTGGAAGGCCAAGGGTGCCTGGCGGCTCCACGTGGTCAGTGTAAACTCCAGGGTGCCTTCGTCCCGAGTGCCCCAGGCAGGGAAGGCAGCCAGCGAGCGGGGCCCGGAGAAACCCAGAGCCACATCGTCACCCGCAGAAAACTCCTGGGCACAGCCCTCTTGCACGTCAGGGGTCAGCGGCCGGAGGAGGTTGTGGCCGTTGAGGGTGGCAGCATGGATGCAGCCCCTAAGGGGGCGACTGGTTCCCCTCAGGTAGGGCAGGGCAAGGCTCCCTGTGCCTCCCACGAAGATTCCATAGGGGATCTCCAAGGGGGCTGCCGGAACTGGGGCGGAGGCGTTCAGGAGCCCATCGACAGACAGCAAGGCCCAGCTGTCGGACACAGTGAGCCCCACCGTGTGCAGGGCGGTGTCACTCAGCAGCCTCTCTGCTGGAGTCTGCAGCTTCAGCTCCTGCTGGCCTAGGAAAAGTCTGGCCTGAGGAGAGACAGAAATGGGGGTGAGGGGCAGCACCTTGACTCTGCCACTATCCCTGTACAGCACAGTGGGTCTTCTCAACAGGGGGCCCCCAAAATGGGGGGGGGCCTAGGACAAGTGCTTCTCAGGCCGCCCCTCTCTCTACTCCACGTCCTTATTCATCCCCCAAACACGTGCCAGGCTCTGGGGACCCCCGTGAGCCAGATGTGGTCCCGGCTCGCAAAGAAATGACATAATTTCCTACTTATTCAACCTGAATTTTTTTATTCTTCTCCTCTTTCGCTTGGCGAGAGGTGCCGGAAAAATCACTTTGAAATCCAGAAGATTCCACCTGTGGAATAACAGGCGACTGGGAATCCCCTTAAGAGTCTCCCCACACCCTGGGGTGGGGAGACTCCCTGTTTAAGATGGGGAACACAATTAGGCACTCGGCGTTTTGAGGGCATAGTACTGATTTGGGGAGAGAAGGACATGGTCCTGTCTCCATGACATTGTCGCTGGAGCTGGTCTGGGGGCGAGTCTCCCACAGGCAGTTGGTAGAATGGATGGTGGCGGAGTGCGGGAACTGAAAGAACAGAGCAGAAGGAACAGAGACCTTGGGAGTCCGTGTCTGAAGCACCCCTGGAGGGGTGTGGCATCTCCGTACCCTGCAGAACAGAAGCGCACCAGCGCCAGGTGGTACCAGGCCAGGTTCAATAGCGACACCTAGTGGCAGTGAGCAGCAATGGCCGCAGCAGCTGAACTGATGGATGACCAAGTCTCTCCAGATGGGGCTGCGGAAGCAGATGCTCCCTCAAGTTTGGGCTAAGACTTTGGGTTCTCAGATTACTTATGGGTAGGGGAAAGCCTCAAGAGAAATCCTAAAGACTCCTAGCTAATAAATCTTGTGGTGACTTGAAGGATGGAACAGAAGATGAGAAAGCTGTGGCTGGGCTGGTTGCTACCGGCGTCCACAATGCCACAGGTGGGTTGACGCAATGCACAGTCCACAGGACGCACAGGGGTTGCTGAGTGCTCAGAAGAGGGGATCTAGCTCAGGTGAGAACCATAGGGTGCCTCCCGGAGGAAGGGATGTCTACACGGAGACTTCAAGGAAAGGCTGGGGTTAGGCAGGTACAGGGGAAGGGTGAGGCCCGAGCAGAGGGAGCATCCAGGGCAACACGAGGCCACCCGGCGGCTGGGAACGGAATACTGCCAGGGTGGTTAGCGCAGAGGCCAGTCGGGGCAGCAGTGAGCAGTGAGGCTGGAGAGCAGGAGGGCCGAGCCAGCTCAACAGGGGTCATTTCTTCTGGGGTGATGCTGTCCATTCACAGTAGAGAGCTCAAGATCCCCAGGAGCCTAGCAGGGAGATGACACTGACCTGCAGGCGTCCAGAGTAGAGTTGCAGGAGGAGGTGGTCAGCAGCGCCTGCAGCCAGGAGAAGCAGAGCTTCTGACTGGGGTGTGGAGAACTGCAGTTGTAGGTCTATGTCACGCAGAGTCGTCACCACAGGCACCTCGAGGTGATTCTCACCGAAGAAAGAGGCTGTGTGGGAGAGGGAGGCGGGCGTGGTCAAGGCTCATACTCTTGTCAGGAGGAGGGCAGGTGTGCAGAGTGGATGGGGGATGCGGGGCGGGGCACTCCTATGTGGCATTGCTTGGGCCTGGAACCAGAAGGCATGGCCTCATCTTGTGTCCAGCCTAGACCTTCATTCTGAAGGAACCAGACTCAGAAATTTCAAGCAATCCAGGTCTCCTCCTTGGAGGAGTTTCCAAGGACCTCCTTCTCTGCACCCCAGAGGACTCTCCATCTTGGGTCTGGCCAAAGGGAAAGCAATCTGTGTTGATCAGTGAGAGATTAAGTTCCGGGGAACCTGGAATAGATTCCCCACTCAAATTTCTTAAGTGCCTCCACACACTGACTCCTGAGCCACACTCTCCATCTATGCTCCACCTCCATGGGCTTGGCTGCGGCCATGGTTGGAGTCTGGTGGTGATGCTAAGACAGGCAGCCCACCCATACCACTTCCCTCTAGGGTTGGGCCCCCAGCTCTCTTTTGGGGTGGGGACAGCAGCTGATGGGCCTGAGTCCACTGATGAGCAAAGTACATCTGAGGCCAGATGCAGACCACGTGCAGTACCGGACCCAAAATGGGTCAAAGCTTCCTCTATCACCCAGATTGCTTCTGGTTGTGGAACTACTAATGGTCCCTGGTGAGCAGTCAGATCCAGTTCATTGTTTCTACCACGACCAGGGAGACAGGAATGACAACAGCTGACTTCTCCAAACCTGGGTCTGAGGCTGACGGCAGGGCCTGGGAGGGCTGCGGGGCTGCTGTGCAGGCGGAGGCAACAGGGCACACCTGGAGTGTCCCAGGGCTAGCTGTCACGCCTCAGGGCCTCTTGGTCCCATACTGGGACACCTCTTTGTAAGTTGCTTCTTCCTCCAGTTTCCCTTCATTAGCCTCCCTTGACCTCCAAACTGCTGCCATGATTTCTGATCTATTCTTTTGCTGAGATTAAGGCCAAATCTAACTTTTACTCTGCTCCCAGATGTTTGGGGCTAGGGGTGAGGCTAGATAGGAATGGATTAAAAAGTTCATCTCTGTTGGGCATCCCTTAAACCCAGCGGGAGCAGGGTTGATGGGTGATCTGGCATGAACCACACATGTGCGGGTCCCTGGTCAGCCTGAGCCAGCTGACATGCACCCAAGGGAGCAGAATCAACCCATGGGGGAGCCTGAGACTTCTGGAAACATGTCCAAGAAAGAGGATGCTCGTCTTGAGCTGAGCTGAAATGCCCTCAAGTCATCTCCTCTTGTCAGCACTTGCTGGCAACACCAGAGCCTTGCCTTGGAAACTTACAGAATCAAATGAGAACTGCAAAATCATCCAGGTGGATACAGCTCAGCAGGTCTACCTGGGGAAGGACGGACAGGGGACTGGCAAGGGGGCGGACACTCCCAGGGGCACCTGATCTACAAGGACAGTGATTATTAAGAACGAAACACAGGCAGAGGCTTAGTCCCAGGCCTTGCAGATTCTCTCCATCTTGGCCAAGGCCTCGCCCACAACCAGGCTCTGCCAGACCCTCCTCGGGCCAAGCAGCACCCCAGTTTGATCCCTGCTTTGTATTTTCTGGGGCCGGAGGTGCTGGAGCAGCGCTGTGTGTCATGCATCTGGCTTTGTTCAACCGAGATGTCACGTGGGACCGACAGAATAACCCAGAACCCTACAACAAGCTGGGGCCCAGTGAGCTGTGCAAGTTCTGCTCAATGATGCAGATGACAGCAAACAGAAGGAAGAAGCCCAGACAGCTAACTGAAATCCTTCACTATAAGCTGCTTCAAATGAAGGCCTTGAGGCCTCCCTGGTGGTGCAAGGGGTTGGGTGTCAGCATTATGAAGCAATCTGAACCTCCTGCAGTTCGATCCTCGGCCAGGGAGCTACCCACATGGTGCAGCAGACCTCTCCTGACTCGCCCGCTGCTCCCCTCAGCAGTGTATTTTGTCAGTCTGCCTGTTCTGTTCCCCACTCTGTCTCTGGTGAATCCTCTCCCCCCCACCACACTTCTGGTCTGTACCCCAATTCTTGTATGCATAAATAAATAAACCTTAAAAAAAATAAAATAAAATGAAGGCCTTCAAGAGCCATCGGCACAATTTTCCACTACACCAGGAAAAACTTCCCCTCTACATGCATGGAATTGCTTTGGGATGTTGTGTCAGGGTTTACACCAATTAATATATATCTGAAACTGAAAACAACAACAACTACAACAAAGCACAGCATACTAAACTGGGGGCACCCCCACAGCGAGTGAGGGCGCATGGCTTCTGAGGATGGACCCACCACCATGGTGGGCTGGAGCTTTATAGCAGCTGCAAGAGCTGACTGTTGAGCTTTCAGAAATCCTGCGAGCCAGATGCTGTTGCCCAGTGAAAATATTTATACCGTGGAAAGCGGCAAACGCGGCGAATCGGGGTGCCCTCTCATCAGGAGCCTGCACGCCTTCCTGCTCACGGCGCATGGAAAGGGCCCGGCTCCCGTGACCCTGCACGTGTGGTGTGAGCCTCGGTGCCCCCTTTGCTAAGGTGGATGTAAATCTGCCAGGCATGGTCCAGGGCAGGGCCTAAGCCAGGCAGGAACTGAAGTGGCGGCTGGCTCTAACCACTGCGCCACCTGCGCCCGAGCCCTCCCAGCAGCCGAGAGCCACAGCCGGTTTGGCCTGGCTCTCCAGCCAGAATGGGAGGGCGGCAGGAAGCAGAGGTACTTTCCAGAGAGCTGGGGTCTGAATGGGCCCATTGAGGGGCTGGGCCCCGCTGTTTCCTGTGGGGTTGGGCAGGGAAGGGCTCACACAAGCTGCCTTGTGCGGCTGAGAACACACAAGCTAAGCAGCCCCTTTCCCCAACAGAGGCCTGTGAGGCTTTGCTGGCCCGGGTTTTGGAAACTCTGACAGCACCATCCCCTCCACCTCCCGGCCTCCTCCTTCTGTTTCTCTTGCTGCTTCTGATGGGTTGCAGTTGCGAGAACCCAGAATCCCTGTCCCGGGAAACAGCTGGAGAGGGGTTTCTAATGGCGAGGGGGTGCAGGATAAAGAAGTAATTAACTAGGGATCAATCCCAGGGGCTTCCTTGGGGAGGTGAGGAGAGGGTCAAGGAGGAGGGAAGGAGGGGAATGGGCACTCTCAGAGGGCAGCAAGGCCACGTGGGAGCCTGGGAGGGATAGAGGATTTGGAAAAATGGAAAACGAAGGAGTAAAGGGAATAGTAGCACAGGCCAATCCAGGCTGAGTAGCCTGATGGGGTGCAGGCATGGCAAGGGGAGGGCAGGAAGTATCCCCCCCACTGCTTGGAGGTCTGCCCCGGACTCTCCTGGTCAGAGGCCCATGATTCATCACGAAGGCCTGAAGCAGCTGTGTGAGCTGTGCTCTGGGCTGGGAGAGGGCCCTACTTGGGCCTCAGCGTCACCATTTCGCTTGCCCTTCCTTCCCCTCCTGTCTGTGAGGATGAGGCCCGAGGGCCCCCCCAGGCCGGGAGTCAGCTCTCACACAGGTGGCGGGAGGGTTAACGTGGGCTGCCTGGGGGGTGCCTGCCTGGAAACCTCAAGAGTCCAGGCTCTGTGGATGTGTATTCACATGTGTGTGCGAGCGCGTGGGTGGCTGCTGGGGGCGTGTTTGGGGTTTGTGTAAGGCTGTGTGTTTGTGCATGTGTGCGCGTGTGGGCCGGGAGCCGCCGGGACAGAGCGGTGATTGTGTCCAGGCCTGCCCTGGCCTTGCCCGCCATGACTTGGTTGGGCCTGGCTTTGTGAAAGGAGCCGAGTGTTCCTGGAGGCTCCTGCCTCCTGCCAGGCGCCCATCCATCTGAGAAGTTTGCCCAAGGTGGAGAAGTCCCACAGCTTCCCACCCTTCCTGCCCACGAACAGGGTGCTGCTGTCTGGGTCCCTCCATGCCTTTTCCCGGGAGGAGGGCCAGGGGCACAGAGAGAGCCTGTGTCCTTCCTGGCCAAGCCTCCTCTCGCCAGGAGAGATGAAGCCTAGGCTGAGGGGCCCCCGCAAGCCACCTGGCAGGGCACGGGCTGTGCTGGCAGCTCCTGACTTCCTAGGGGGCACTCCTGGGACATGTATGAAAGGGGTGTTGCCCCTGGGTGGCCCCAAGCGTGAGGCTGGCTTCAGTCATGATGCCCAAGACTCTCCTGTCTGCAGGTTCTTGGGACAAGGGGAGAAGGTGTGGGCAGTGTCTGCTATCAGTTCCCTGACCCTCCCAGGCTGGCCGGGGTTAGGGTCTCAGCAATGGTGCCCCTTCCAGCCTGGGAGGAGTCCTTCTGAGTCCCCAGAACTGTGGGATCAACCAGTCCACCTCCCTCCCCTTCTCTGTCCCACATCTCCTCTGCTCTGCCTCTGCTGTTTCCCGTCTCTCCCTAGCTTCGGCTGTCACAGGGACCCCCTGTCTTGCCCGTGGACAGCCTGGAGAGCCAAATGTGGGGTCTCTTGCTCCTCCAGGCCTGGGCCCTCATTCCTGGGGCCATGGGCTCCACGACAGCACAGCTTTCTGCAGCCCAGGTCTGCGCGGGGGCTCGGCTCGCGCTTTCCAGACGGGCAAACCGAGGCTGCAGAGAAGAAGCCACAGCCAGAGACACAGAGGGCCTGCGGTTCTTTCCCTGCACCTGCCTGAGCTCTGGCACCCCACTCCACCCTGCTCCCCAGATCACTCCCCGAGTGCCCTCTCCCACCGCATTCCCGGCCTCAGGGGCAGCAGGCAGCCCCGCAGCAGCAGTAGCCCCACAGCCGGCATGCGTCATGCGTCCCGGCGGCAGCAGCATTCCTGGGTGTCTGCAGCCGCCTGACTTTATAAGGGAGAAAGTTTGGGAGCCTGGAGCCACTGGGCAGCATGGCGGGTGGGCAGTGCCCGACCCTGTTGCGGAGGGCGATGGGCAACCTGGGGGGGGGGGATGATTCGGGGTTGCCTAGATGGAGTAGGGGGGAGACGAGGGCCCATGTCCAGTCATCACTCACAAACGCAATAATGCAGCGATGGAAAAGCAGAGCC